TTTAGTAGAGACGGGGTTTCACCATGTTGACCAGGATGGTCTCGATCTCTTGACCTCGTGATCCACCCGCCTCGGCCTCCCAAAGTGCTGGGATTACAGGCTTGAGCCACCGCACCCGGCCCAGAGCAGGAGTTTTTAATGCGGGGTGAATATGCCCTGGGGAATGTATGTTGGTGCCCAGAGCCATTTTTGATTGTCATGGCTTAGCGGAGAAGGTTGTGAGCACCCAGTGGGTAGTGCCAGGGATGCTGTCCAACATCCTCTGGGGCACACCTAGCCCACAGCAGAGAACTGCCATCTATGCAGAGGCAAATGGGAGGCTGCTCCAGACCAAAGGGCTCCAGCCCTGCTGCAGGTGAGGGAAAGAAAAGCCTCTTTGCAGTCCCAGCCTAACCTGCCCTTGACAAGCGCACCACATCTGGCAAGTTCAGCTCTCTGGAGCAGCAGTAGAGGCAACAGAGGGGCCCAGAGCAAAGAGATTCTGTTACTAAGTTGTGGATAAAGGAGATGGGATGGGGATGTGGGGCAGGAGAATATTTTAAAAGAGAAAAGGGAGGAAAATGTTAGGTCAGTATTTCCCGGACTATAAAACACAGGAGTCTTAGAAAAAGCAAATGCTTTCACTCTGAAGCCAAAATGTGCTCCTGGTTACTGAACAGGCACAACTGATGACAGCCAACTCCAGAATCCACACTACTGTCCTTTCGGTGAGGACTGGAAAAGGAAGCGCAGGAGAGAACAGGATGTGTGTGGTGCCAGAGCCCAGCATTGCACAGGTCAGTGCTGCTCCCTGGACTTGAGGGGCTGACCCAGGGACCTCTGGGCTCTGTTTTGGGTTCTGGACCTGTACTGTCAGGAACAGGACAGTCCTGGCAACAAAAAGTTACTGGAAAGAAAGGAGCAGATCAAGGAAAGTTATAGGGGACTGTCAGAAGAAATAAAGAAGTCATAAGAACTTTAGGTTGTTTTCATAGTTTTAAAAACAAGATTTGTTACTTGTACATACCTAACCATTTTTTACCTCTGAAGCTTGCTGACCTGTGTCTAGAATTTTTTTTTTTTTGAGACAGAGTCTCACTCTGTCACCCAGGCTAGAGTATAGTGGCCCGATCTTGGCTCACTGCAACCTCTGTCTCCCAGGTTCAAGCGATTCTCCTGCCTGAGCCTCCCGAGCAACTGGGACTACAGGAACATGCCACCAAGCCTGGTTAATTTTTTTCTACTTTTAGTAGAGACGGGTTTTCACCGTGTTAGCCAGGATGGTCTCGATCTCCTGACCTCGTGATCTACCTGCCTCAATCTCCCACAGTGCTGGGATTACAGATGTGAGCCACTGTGCATGGCCCCAACCACCTTTTTAAATGGAGGTACCATACAGCTGGGAGCCAGCACCTGACAGGACACCCCATTATTCCCATTTCCTGATTTTATCAAACAAGAAGAGAAACAAATCTGGCTCTCTCTGCTTTCTAACAGCCTCAAAACTTCTAAGTACTGTAAGCAATGTTAGTTTCTTAGTTTTGAAAAACGACCAAAGTTATAGAAAATGCATCAGAGGAAGCTGGATGAGATGATGGATATACAGGAATTCTCTGTACTGTCTTACAACAAATACTTCAAAATAAAAAGTGTAAAAAAACTGAAGTAAAAAAGCAACCTTTTCTAAACACATAATCCTCTTTCTTGCGATCTTCCCAAATCACTACTACAGAAGCAGGTGAATGGTGGCTGGGAAGGTCAGGCTCCCAGCAACAAGCACAGGGGGAGAGTTGGCTGCTTGTGGTCTTCACCCACCAAGGGCACACCAGACACGCAGCAGCTGGGGTGAGCAAGAGAAGCCACACAAAAGAATGCACTCCCCTCAGTGTTTTGAAATAAAAGAGATTCTATTATTTCGTGGCACAAAAGGAGATATTTTCTCATTAATATCTTCGTTCATCAGGCTCAGAAGTGATAAGAATAGTTCCTATTTTATAGATGGGAAACCTGACAGAGGATAAAGACGTGGAATCACCGATCGTGTAGGTCATTAATACGCATCTCATCAACACAGTATCATCCTTGGAAAATAAATGTCCCTTCATCTGACAGCAACACAAATCAATGGGCTTCTAACATCAACCCACTAACAAACAGGAAGTATAAGATATCATCAACCCACTAACAAACAGGAAGTATAAGAAAAACCAGTCTCTCTGGGTCTCATCATTCTGGAGAGAAAGGTAAAGTGATTCATGTACATGAATTCTCTCCATCAACAAAGGAAGCCTGGGAGGAGCGGCTGAATCATCCTCACCTATCTCTCCTGTTGCTAGCTCATCACAGAAAATGTTAAACTCATTTAGAGAGCTACTCATGAGAAATCCGGGTTCTCTTCCTATCACCTACTGACACACTTTTAGTTATAGATTTTCACTGTGAGCATAATAAAAATCCATAGACCACGGCAGCCCCTGGGGAGCCACAGCACTGAGAGCCAAGGGTAACTTACCATATTTGGCACGTTGGTGACTGAAGTATTCTTGATGTCTGTAGGGAAGGTGGGCAAACTGTTGACCATGCTCTGTTTGCTGGCTAACTGGGGGTTCACTCCAGTGGCTCCCATTGGCTGCCCTCCAGCTTGACTAAAGGGCTGTCCAAATGGACTTGTGTTCCCAGTTATTCCCATCTGTAACAAAAAGAGGTAATATCAACTGTGGTGATGCAGTCACATACAAAATGAAGGGCCTGGGAAATGCTCACATGGTTTCCTATGAAATACTCATGCAATGATAAATTCAAGGTTCATTATCAGGTTCACATGCTTCAGAAAGAAGGCTCATGAAGCTGCTCCTAGCAGTCACTCTATCCTCACCCTAAAACCCCATTCCCTAAGAAGCTGAGCTGTTTTTCCCCTACCCTCAGCCACTCTCCTCACTCAACCCCTCCTGCTCCAGCAATGGCACCAACACCCGAAGAAAGTCATTTGGAAAACAAAATCTTCCAAAGCTGCTTCTCAAGAAGAATTCTTCCAGTTTTATCCTTAATTGCTCCTTAAGAATCTAGTTTCTGTTAGGTTCCCCATCAGATTTGAACTAAGCTTTCATAGTTCAAAACACACAGTGGCAATATTGGCAATGAAATGATGCAACACCTGGGATCTGCTTCAAAATACATTTGACCCATGAACGACATGTGGGTGAACTGTGTGGGTCCACTGGAACTTTTTTTCAATCTCTCCTGCTCCCCTATAACCTCCTCAGCCTCTGCTACCCAAGAGATCAAGACTAGTCCCTCCTTGTCCTCCTGAGTCTACTCAACGTGAAGACCACGAGAATGAAGACCTTGATGACCCACTTTCACGTGATGAATGATACATGTATTTTCTCTTCCTTATGGTTTTCTTAATAACATTTTCTTTTCTCTAGCCTACTTCACTGTAAAACTACAGTATATAATACATAAAACATGAAATTTGTGGCAAGCAACTGTATATGTTATTGGTAAGGCCCCGATCAACAGCAGGGGATTAGTAGTAGTTAAGCTTTTAGGGAGTCAAAAGGTTATAAACAGATTTTCAACTGGGCAGAGCCAGCACCCTTAACTCCTGAGTTGCTTAAGAGTCACCTCTAATCCACTGAGACAGGAAGAGGTGGCAGGAAAAGGCCCTAGATGGAGAGAGCCTGGTAAAGAACTAATACTAACCAATCAGTAGGCGATTGGTACACAGAAGTTATGGTATCCTCTCTACCACTGTACATGTGTAAAATTTACTTTTTTTTTTTTTTTTTTGGAGACAGTGTCTCACTCTGTCGCCCAGGATGGAGTGCAGGAGTGTGATCTTGGCTCACTGAAACCTCTGCCTCCCAGTTTTAAGCCATTCTCCTGCTTCAGCCTCCAGAGTAGCTACAATTTTGGGCTCGTGCCAGCACGCCCAGCTAATTTTTATATTTTTAGTAGAAACAAAGTTTCATCATGTTGGCCAGGCTGGTCTCAAACTCCTGGTGATCTGCCTGCCTTGGCCTCCCAAAGTTCTGGGATTACAGCCATGAGCCACTGTGCATGGCCTAAAATTTTCCATAATAAAGTTTTTACAAAATTAAAGTGGACTGAAATCAAACATACAGTAGACAAAGTAAGGAACAGGAAGGAGGAACCCTCAGCTATGCTTCCTTGAGGGCCTGCAACCAACTGGGATTCTCTCCATCAGTAGATGTAGGCCAGGTTCCCTAATGACCCCCAGCTCCAGCCTCCACAGGTAAACTCAGGAATCGTCACGGCAATATCCCAGTGCTTACCTTTCTCCCTGTGAAGCAACAAAGACTAAGAAACTGGATGCCTGGGCTGCCTGTCTTTGCTTTTTCACAAAGCTCTAATATTCCACCTGCTATTTATTGTGAACTCTGCCTTTCTGGTGTAGCAGTCCATCTGATGGACTGGGAAGGTCCCCAAATAGGGAAAACCTCCAGGGTTGAGTTTCCAGTCAAGAAATCATAGCTCAGTTCTCTCCATCAGCCTCACACAGTAACTGCCATGCCAGCATGTCCACTCTGGGTAACTTACATTCCCTCTATGGATTTCAACCTCCTCACCTGTAAGATGAGTGTCTTGAACAAGATGGATTGCATTATTTCTTTCAGCTCTAAAAGTCTAGGCTACAAACAAATCAACACTCAACACAACTGACCCTTTCTGCTCAAACGCCTGTACAAAAACACAAATAAAAACCAAAGGAGTACATCCAGAAATCTCTAGTTCTGTGCATTTCATACACAGGTGATTTCCTTCCACATGTAGTCCTCACAGGTGACATTTCTCACCTTTTTGAAAGCAATCACCTTCAAGCCTCCACTAGGTGCTCTACTTAAGTGAATTGAGACACTAATTCTTCATCAAGTCCACAAACCAGACTCAATTTCAAGCTCAAATGACTTAATCAAGGTGAGATGGTAGCTCAATAAATACTAAGGGCATTTTTTTTTTTTTTGAGACGAGTTTTGCTCGTTACCCAGGCTGGAGTGCAATGGCATGATCTCAGCTCACCGCAACCTCCGCCTCCTGGGTTCAGGCAAGTCTCCTGCCTCAACCTCCTGAGTAGCTGGGATTACAGGCATGCACCACCATGCCCAGCTAATGTTTTTGTATTTTTAGTAGAGACGGGGTTTCACCATGTTGACCAGGATGGTCTCGATCTCTTGACCTCGTAATCCACCCGCCTCAGCCTCCCAAAGTGCTGGGATTACAGGCGTGAGCCACTGCGCCCGGATGCTAAGGGCATTTCTGATTTGCAAGAGGGTTCCTTCAATTGTCATCTGAAACTTAATTGAAGCAGGAATTTATATTTTCAGAAATGACTACACTAAATTAATTCCATGGAGCAATTACCACTCTCAGAATTTGTCTTATTAGATATAATCAAAATGCTGAAACACTGTTCTTAGAAGCCTAGAATCTGAATACAAGAACTAGAACAACAACAAAAAATACATGGTTTTTTTTTTCTCCAGTTCCTAAATTTCTCACTTTGGACAAAATATGACAGAACACATGCATTCATTTTCCTTCGATCAATCCGTCCTTGAAGACAACGGTTATTCACTAAGTACCTGCCATGAGCCAAGCCCAGTTCTGAGGCTGTGTAGACGTATTTCCCACTTGTCACGGAGCTCACACCTCAATTTGACAAACAGACAGACAAAAATCAACATCTTTTTAAAGTTTCTAATTAATTAGGCCCAGTACTGACAAACCAAATTGTGTGGGAGGTTAATGGGGTGGGGAAGGGTACAGGTAACCATCTTCCTCCCACTCCAAATGCCCAGGCACCATGGCTCCAGAGAAGAGGGGACTTAAGTACCAAGAGGCCAGAGCACTCTGAAAGGGGTCCCATGGATCTCAAAGTTCACCTGACTTGCTTCAGAAATTTAATTTCCAAAACTTCCTAGACATTTTTGACTATTTTCCTAAGATAGCCTTGCTAGGGGGAACATGAGGTAGATGTGTGTGGTCAGGTGGGTAATACTTGCCTGGCTATACTCTGGGGCCCTTTTCTAACTGGTCAATTTGGGATTTTTGTGTTTTTGTTTTTGAGACAATCTCATTCTGTTGCCTAGGCTGGAGTGTAGTGGCACAATCTCAACTCACTGTAACCTCCACCTCCCGGATTCAAGCAATTCTTGCGTTTCAGCCTCCCAAGTAGTTGGGATTACACGCATGGGCCAAAACACCCAGCAAACTTTTGTGTTTTTCAGTAGAGAAGAGTTTTGCCATGTTGGTCAGGCTGGCCTCGAACTCCTGGCCTCAAGTGATCCATTAAGTCTCAAGCCTCCCAAAGCGCTGGGATTAAAGGTGTGAGCCACTGTGCCTGGCCATAACTGGTCAATTTCAAAGGGTAATCCAGTGTTTTGAAGTGTTCTGACAGATTTCATCAGGAAACATGTTTGCACCTTTTCTTCTTGGCCATCAGGTAACACAGTGAAGGAAACAGTCTCAAGTTTTTACCTTGATGCTCACAAGGTAAAAAAAAATGTCAAGTCAAAGATCATGAACAGCATGTAAGGAATGTGCAGCTCATAGGGATCTATACAATTCTTAAAAATAGGGGAAAATGGCCAGGCGCAGTGGCTCATGCCTGTAACCCCAGGGTTTTGGGAGGCCGAGGTGGGCGGATCATGAGGTCAAGAGATCAAGACCATCCTGGTCAATGAGGCGAAACCCTGTCTCTACTAAAAATACAAAAATTAGCCGGGAGTGGCGGTGTGTGCCTGTAATCCCAGCTATTCGAGAGGCTGAGGTAGGAGAATTGCTTGAACCCAGGAGGTGGAGGTTGCCGTCAGCCGAGATCGCGCCATCGCACTTCAGCTTGGGCAACAGGGGGAGACTCCATCTCAAAAAATAAATAAATAAAAATAAATAAATAACAGAGGAAATATCCCGTCCTTAGCCTACAACAAAAACAAACAAAACCCAGGCTATATGCAGGAGGTTAGGGTTCAAATCTCTGGCACCAGGGCCAGCCCCAGCCTCTCCTTGTCAGAGGAAGTTAACAGGCAGGCCAAAGAGGTAAGTTCTCCCACAGGCTATCACTGCTCATTGCCCAGGCAAGGCTACCTCCTGGTATCAAACCATCTCCTGGCACAACTCAAGAGCCATGCACCAGTTCTAGGCTGCGGTTCTGGATAAAAACCATCTGCTTCTAGAGATTCTAGATTTCTAAATTTCTAATCTGTATCTATTCTCCATCAATCAAACTGAGCATTGTGGTCTCCAAGTCTAGACTAACACATAATTTTTAGAACCAATACTCCAAATGAAATACTAAAATCAAGATATATAATTCTAAATAATAAAAATCTACATATTTATTTTAATTTCCTGACAGTTACTTGATAATAATTAAGTAGGCCGGGTGCTCATGGTGCAATTCTAGCACTTTGGGAGGTTGAGGTGGGCAGGTCACTTGAGGTCAGCAGTTAGAAACCAGCCTCACCAACATGGTGAAACCCCATCTCTATTAAAAATACAAAAATTAGCCAGGCATGGTGGTGTGTGCTTGTAATCCAGGTTGAGGCAGGAGAACTGCTTGAACCTGGGAGGCAGAAATTGCAATGAGCTGAGATCTTGCCACTGTACTCTAGCCTGGGTGACAGAGGGAGGCTGTAATAAAAAAAAAAAAAAAAAAAAGTAAAC